ACTTCTTTTACGTTACACCTGATCTCGAAATATGATTGGCTATCGAAATTTTTTAGATTGGTATTTTAAACACTGTTGTTTATTCGTTACTGCGCCACAGCGATCACCTGCCTAAACGAGCTTCCGGCATTACCATCCTACTACTCACAATATAAATTTACTGCTTCACTAAATCGGATACCCTTATGTCAAGAAAATCCCGGGCTGAAGATCACTTTCGACCCTATCCGGATCCGATAAAATTACAGGATTTCGTGTAACAGAACAAACGCGAAAAACATAAGAAATTGTAAAAAAACGTAAATAAAACAAAAATTTACTATGATGACTAACTTCCGACCTCTAAGTAAAAGTTTTCAGAATGAAATTTTACTTAGAGGCCACGATTGATAATGTTAGATATATAGAGAATTTTTGATATACTACGACCCAGTGTTTAATATCTAATGTTCTCAATGTTCTCAAGAATCTTTAAAAAAATTTGAGAACACTGCATCTGAGAACATAAAATTTTTTCATAATATATATATTAAAATATTATAATTTTTTTTTTTTTAGCAAGAACATTAAAAAAGGTTTGAGAACATAAAATTATCAATTAATGTTCTCAAATACAAAAAAAAAAAATTCTCGGATATTTTTCGCTGCTACGACTCATATCTTTTTGGCCGGCAGCTCGGGATTTTCTTAACATAAGTAAGTTTCATTAAATCGGGTTTATAAAATTTCGACTAACTAAATTCGTTCATTTTAGCTGTCCTAGTTCAATAATTCAAAGATATCTAATTAAACCATTTGTTGTTTTACTAACCTGTACTATAAAAAGCGTTTATGAGACTAATCTAATGATCCAAAGGTTATAATGGATGGTGATTTATTTAAATTACCAAAAAATATTTATGTTAAAAAATAAACTGTTATATTTATTTCATTATAACTATCGTTCTAAAAATATTTGAACTTCAGATAATTTTTTTTTGCAAGATAAAATTTTATAATTGTCGTGCCAGTTTGTTCTTGAACATGATTATTTAATTTGGTTTCTCATTGTAAAATTTTTTTACTTTGATTCCTTTTTCATTCAAAAAATCTTCACTATTTGAATAGTATGACATCCTGTGCAGGATTTGAGTTGTTGATCTGACATAGTAAAAGAACCTATCGTTATAAAAAAAATTTTTGTTGATTTAAATGTGCTAATAATCAAAGAAAAAAAATTCAAATAAATATAAAGTAGCAATATCCATAATAATTTAAGCAATAACAGCACAGCAGTAACGATGGTAGAAGAAAAAAAAAATTTGATTCGTTATTGTATGGTAATGAAAATAATGAATTTTACAAGTGCACCGACTTTTTTTATTTGTAATCAAAATTGGCAATAATCAAATCCGAATCACATAATAACATTTGCCCAAAAGATCTGTCCGGCTACCATTTTTTGAGGGCGACGCTAGGGTCGTTGAATTAGTACGCATAGTGATGTGTAATTCGGGTATCATATAAATTAAGCATCACTGTATCGGTATGGCTTATTAATTATAGCTCAGCCCGCTTATTTTTTTTAGATTCCGTTAGTTTTGACTTGATCAGGATTTCATGAAGTTTGTCTTTGTTCACTTCCGATGTTGGGTTTCGTTCTCACCTGTCTTGGGTTTCGCTTTTCATTGCAAGAAGGTTTCGCCAAATAACTGTATATCAAATAATATTATCCTCGTGTCGTTTCAATAATGTAAACACCTCTGGTATAGTTTCATGTCGTAAAGTTTGGCGATAGCAGTACAGGCTGACTATCCTCTTTTCTACTGTATTATCATTATTATTATTTTTGCTTTTATTTTATTTTTATTTTGACCAACATAATCATTCTATAAGCTAACCTGTTGTCGGAGTGTTTCGATCCAAGACTACTGGCAGGAAAATGTGTCATATTTAACTTTGATGCTGTAATGAACAATAGTAATTTGGATGATAATATTCCTTAGCAACTTGATTAAAGTAAATCATCAAAATTTCTTGAAGCAGCCATTGATGCCGCAATAAAATATAAATATTTATTTTTTTCAAACTAAAATAAATAAATATTTTTTCAAACATTTTAAGCCACATAAAATGTTTAAAATGTAAAAAATTTGTTTAGTTTTTATTAAGCCCATTAACCGTCATACTTTGATTACTGTATATTATGTTGGCATCGCCTAGCGTCCAAGTTGATATTGAATTGGAAACTAGAAAGTATGTTGCAGTCAGTCCGGAAGGCGACTTTGTAGTTGAATTTGTAGTAAAAGAAAATTTCGGTAAATGTTTTACAGAATAATTGTTTGCAGTTAATTTCAATCTTTAAGCATCACTCTAAAAATTTCTCCACAATGTTATCGAGATTCATACACAAGTAATAATTTTCTATTTGTACACGATGTGTATATACACGGATATTGTTGTTTTTATTAATACGGCTACTTTTGCGTTCTAACAAAAAGACTCTTTGCAAAACTATTCCATTCTCTAAGCTCTAAAATCTAATCTTAATATTAAACGAGGTTAATTTTTTTTTAGTAAAAGTTGCATATAATACAGACTCGATAAAACCAATCAATGCCTGTGTATATACACTACCAGTAAACTAAAAGGTTTTCTATTTTTCGTATATAGTAAAAAATATACTAATAAAAGTATTTTATGATAGCTTATTATAATTGGACTATCAGAATAACTCGAATTATTGGGTGGTAATTATGTTCACCAAATAAGAAAATTAGATTACGTATTTTTATAGACAGTTTATTTTACAGGCAAATATTTTATAATCTTTAGCAGTGAATATCTTCTACTCTGCTAGTCAATTTTGTATAATTTGACGACCAAAATAATCACCAGGTCACTGTCTATGAAATGAGCTGGCTGTAAATTAAATTATTTATAGAATGTACTGTCTGTAAATCTATAAAATAATACGTACCCACGATGTTATTTGAAGATAATTAGCATCAAAGCAATACGAGTTATTCCTATGATCCGTAGTCATAATTTATCTACGAGCCAGTAACTTATCTGACTTTAATTTTAATGTCCCATTTTCGAGTCCGGAAAACAGTACATTAAATTTAGACAAGATAACGGAATAATTTTACAAATAACTTGTTAATCTGGCAGCAAATTTAATGTGACATTTTAGTCCCTTCGATTCCAGAAGCAGACATTAAATTTCAGCCAGATAATGAAGTATTTTTCAAATAACTCCCGTTATTGGCTGTCTTGCATCCAATAACTATTAAGTATTTGTTTTTGCATTTATTAGATTTTAACAAAGCATATTATATTAATATAATACTAATGTTTTGTGATCTTAAATCTGTAATTATCCACTATATGAATCCTGACGAAATTTTTAGAGTAGGCCCTAAAGTTTGAAATTAGCCGTAATTAAATCATTTGTATTATTAATAACTTTCAAAATTTTCATTTAATTAGAATTTGAATTAAAAATTCATATTACTGAAAATTTGAACAATAAAGATGTAGGTGACCGAATATCATCAAAAAGAAAACTTTCTGGTATTCCTACCACATTTGAATTTACTAAAGAGCAACTAGATATAATTAAGAATGAGAGTACAAATATATTGAGGTGGTCTGTTGCCGTATCAGATAAATCAGCTAGCTTACCAGAATTTAGAATATTAGCAATATCTTATGTTAACCTTGAAGACATGAAATATTATAAGAAAAATTCTAGTGAAATACATCTTTCAGAAACCAAAAATAATGGATTTACGTTTGTTTTTATTATTGCCGATAATTATTCAATTAGTAATATCGAAGAAAAATCATTAATTGAATATGGTGGGATAGTCGAATTATTTTCCAGTCAAAATGCTGATGAATATTTCTTTATTATCTTGACACTTTCAGGAATTTGCAAGTATCATATAAAGGATGAATCTATTAACGATAAAAACTTACAAAGGCTAAAATATCCAAGAAGAACATACAATGCCATCATTAATAATATAAATGCGCGTTTTGATGATTATGATTTTGATAAAGCATGTCATGTTGCATATAATTCTATATGCGAGTATATCGAAAGCTGCTTACATAAGCATTATTTTTTGGTCGATACTATTAAAGAAGGCATAGAATACATGGAACTTTATGATTTAAAGACCAACCAATTAGTAAATATTTTTAAGAGGCAGAATTTAGATCAATCAGTCTTGTTAGATCTTTCTACTTTATCTTACGCAATATCGGACGATAACAGATTGTTAGCATATGTACCATCATCCACTGGAGATATTATAATATATTCGGTTGAATCCGGTATTGAAATAGCGAAGATTGAACATTTTATAAATATAAAGGACGCATTTGGACAAATATTTATTGATTTTTTTGGTGAGAAGTTACTTATATATCATTCAAAAGACGAATGGTTTGTCTGGGATATTTTCGGTTCATTACGAGATTCTGTCAAATTAGGAAATCCAGGATTTACAGTGGAGCTTCCATTAGCAAAAAAATTTGGAGTACAACGATCAAATTCATCCATAGTTGTTGATATAGGTAGTGAACTGGTTATTTATGATGATCAGATCATTGATAAATATTTGCAATATCTAAAGAAAAATGGTGAACAACATTGGAAGCAATTACCAATAGAATATTTTTCTATGCAAAATTTATATAATTACATCCTAAATCTTCATAATAGAACATCAATAGACAAATTAGATAAATATTTTTCGAGAAAAAGTCTCCAATCTTCTTATAAAAATATAACATTAGAAAAATTAGATATAGCTCCTCACGAAAAATTAAATTTAGAGGCATTAGATAAGAATTATGTGATAATTGAACCCTGGTCAACAGAATCTTTTGGATCTTTTGGACGTCCACGGTATTCATTCTATCTTGATGAGGAAAAAAAAAAGCTACTTTTAATTGGAAGCCATACAATTCAAGTTTGGCACAGATATGATCAAGGTCATAAAAAAAAAAGATCACTTGAATTCATTCATATACCTTTATCGCATTTGCACAATATTTTTGAACTTGAAATGAAAAAATTGGACCTTCAAGTAATAAAAGTAATAGATTTCAAATATTGCACTGGAAAATTCAAGCTTAGCATTCAAATTAATGATGAAGTTCCTCCTTTAATTCAAATTAAAGATGAAATTAAAATGGAAGATGAAGAAGATTTTATGAACGTAGTCAAATATGCTTGTTACGCACTTAAGTATTTCTCCGCTTACAAAAAACTTGAACAGTTTCTTAACAAGGATAAGAAATTAAAATTCAATGATATTATCAAACAAACACGAAAAATAATCTTTAGATTTATTAGATTGCATCCAACTGCTTGGCGGCTATTAGATATTCGCTTTGATTTAATGAGTGTTCTTATTGAAACTGGAGATTATGAACTTGTCTATAGTATTTTATCTTCTAAAAAACTGACTCATGTACCCCAATACCTTTCTTGGTCAGGTGGAAAAAATACTATTCGTACTGCACTTTCAGGTTAGTATATTTAGAATTGCGTTGGTTACAAGTAAATGAAAATATGATTGATCTCGCTTCCCAACATCCATTTTACTGACATTTGAGGTTGGCCCAATTTATAGTTATGGTTAGCCTGATTTAATGTTAGCGAAATAAATGTCGGTGAAACGGGATAATTTCATGTAAATGTACTATATATGTTAATATTAACATTTTTACTTTTTTTGAAGATCGTAATATGCTGGCACTTTTGTTAGATTACTATACTAAGCATGCAGAAGATAATATTGGATGGATGAATACGGTCGCAGATGTCTTACCAGAATTATATAAGAGTAATAAAACGAAGGAGGAGAAAAAAGGTGATAAAATTGGATGGATGAATAAAGTTGTAGGTACCATATCTAAATTATATAAGCGTAACAAAAAAAACAAAAAAAAAAAAGGTGATAATTCTAAATAAATTTGAATTCTGGATTGCTATAAACATTATCATATTAGCATAAATTATATAAATCTTTTATTATCTTCCATAAAATAGAATCTTACACATATTATGCTCAAATGTTATTTTATAATTCCCGCTTTGGCGACAAAAGATTGGATTTACTCTCTTTTGAATTTCTTAAAATTTCACCAGAGTTAGATGGTTTATTAAAAGTTTTTATACCTATAACACAGTTGATTCCACAAGATTCTGAATTGGATCTGCAAGAGATTGAGTATGGAAACAATAATTATTTTAAATTCTGTTCTTAATATATTAAAATTAACTCAAAATTTACCTCAGTTCCGATAAAATTGATGATATTCGTATGGTACCTTTACCAGATTTTACAACAAATAAAAGAATGCTTTCAGATGTAAAAGAAGGAAAACTTACGAACTATCTAAAGTTTTTAATTTTCGCTACTCTTGAAGAGCAGGATTATAGTCCCTTTATTAAAATAATCAAAGATGTTGGGCTTAATATTTTATGTGAAAACCCATCAATGGGTGCTATCATGAATTGGATGTGGTATTCTTCTAAGTCCTATTGGCATAAAACCCTGCAATCGTTTGTATTATATTTTGCAGTCTATTCAATTATCACTTGGGCATATATTGCCCATATCCAAATGACTGGCGCACTTCCACATATTATAATAATTGCAATCATTTTATTATTTTATTATTTATCATATAATCATTTCGTAGTTGAATTTAACCAATTCTATCACAATGGAAAAAAATATTTTTCAGACCTTTTTAATTTTGTAGATCTTCTAGCACTCATTGTTCCGATATTTATCTTTAGCAATATTTTGTTTCATCATTATACATTTGAGGACGGATTTAAAAATGCCGAAAACAGTCAAGGCTTTACATTTTTTATTTTTTTAAGTATTTTAATTCTTTGGTTCGAGTTTGTAAGTATACACTAATTATTTGATGTCGCGGCTAATGTCTGGTGCTAAAAATTATGTGTCAATATTTAAAATATAACCTCACAAAGCCCACATATGCTTTTTATTATCAAATTAATTAAACAATCATATATCCTAACTTAACAATGAAAAAAAGTTAAGGAAAAACGCATCCCGACAATTTAAAATTTCATATCAAAATGGGTTTATTTTTGATATCAGTTATTTTTAGCACCAGCCTCGACGTTTAATTTGTATAATTGCAAATTCTTTTTTTATGTCATTTGATATTAATTTTACGCGTTTCTATCAGATTTTGCTATTACGTATATTCGAAGGTACAGTAATTTGCTAATAATTCTTCTGACTGATAACTAAATAAATTTACATGCATAATTATTATATATAACTTAGGCTTTGCGCTGGATCTTCTCATACTCTTAAATATTATCATTTCCATACGACAATTTTTGTTGTTTTTTATTCTAACTATCATTGCAATGGTAACAATAATTATTCTTAGAGAAATATTTATTAATTCTTACTCTCATTAACACAATATTACACTTTAATCCTTACATTGCATTATCAGGGACATGCATTGTGAGTTTTATGCTTGAAACTTATAACTTTTATTAAAATATTAATATCAATTATGCTTGTCTAGATTTATTCTCCTTGGATATTCATCTTACATTGGACTAAGTCAAAAATCGATTGTTGTTGGAGGAGAATCTAATAATCCATTTTCAAGTATTATTGGTTCTATGCTTGCAGTATATAATTGGTCTTCAATGTCATTAGATACATGGAATTTTTGGCCACTTACTGTAATTAGTGTGATTGGAAGTTTTATTTTTGTGATTATATTACAAAATGTTATAATTTCATTTATGAGGTATGTTCAAAATCTTGCAATTTTAATATTCTTATTAATTTTCACTGATCTCTAATTCTTTTAAATAAAGTGAAGCTATCTCACATGCGGTTAATAATAGTAGAGGGATATATAGTTATCAAGTTGATTTTATTTATGATTTTGCTCTTCTTGAAAGATCATTAGAACTTAATGAGATAGATTCCAAGTTTAAGGATAAACTAAACGCAAAATATATCTGTTATTCTGATGATCCATCTATCACGGATTCATGGAAAAAAAAATCTGAACAGATGAAATTAAAGCTAAATTCTAAGCTTTCAAAATTACGTATAAGTGATTTTGAAACTTGGACAACTGAAAGTTGTGAATTTATTTGGAAAAAAGAGATAGAAACCGTGGATTCTCCTCCAGAGGATAATGATTAGTTCCTTGCAGATTGTGTGGTATTTTTGAAAAAAGTTAGAAAACATTGTAACAAACTAATTAATTAATACTTATATTGGCTGGATAATTTTTAACATAGTTGGTCTGTCTAATTGCACAAAACTTTTTTATCCATTTAGTCTGTATATGCATTTTGACTATAAAACCATCATGTTAATATACAATTAGACGGCATGAATATATATATTAAATAAATTTTAAGTAACTTGTTGATATAATATGAGAGAATCTTTGTCGTCAGCAGTGATTGCCATCCAAAATGACGCTGTCATGTGATCCTCAAAAATCTTTTAAGTTCTTTTTGTTAGGGTTAACGTTTATACTAATGTTAAGATTGAGGAGTTATGGTAAAATTACCTAAAGAATTTTTTTTGTTAGTACGCAAAAGGTGGTTTCTTATATGAATTTTTGAGAAATTAATGATTTTTGACAAAAATCGATGTTTGTTTTGGATCTTCGCACGCAGTCGCGCCAAAACCAGGAACGGGAAGATTTACTTGGATTAATAAATATATTTAATTATAATATATATTAATAAAATAATAAAAAAGGAAAGTTTAGTCAATTCTTTAAAAATTTAGTCATGATTATTGTAACTAATTTCATGAATTATTTTGTTGACAGCCATTTTATCAATAAAGTTTGAGTTGACAAGGTTGGGCTGATAAATTGTTAGCGTTGGTTAGAGGTAGATTGTCGATGAATCTTACAAAAGCGTTAACTATGTACACACATAACTTAGTTAATGAACAGTAAAAAATTGTGGTTAACATGTTTTTATGAATAATGGACAATCTATTCTAATCTTTATAACACTGTGAAGATTTATTTGTCTGCTTTTTATATTTTGTGATTTCAATGATAGGTGTGCTCATTATTTCGAAAGTGCATGGGTAGGTTTTGTGATTTGCAACGATGGGTGACTAATAATTTCAACGGTGAAATAGTGATTTTAACAATGGACGTTGGTGATTTTAAAAGTAATTTACTGTTCGATAGTAGATTAGTCACAGTGAAACCTCTATAAATGCACCCTCTATTGGCGCATACCCTCTTTAAATGCACGTTTAAATTCGGGCTAAATTTATACATGACCTTCATAAATGCACCTTTTCTTATTGTTCTCTAAGTGTACGTTGTTAAAGTTCGATCATAAGAGCGTGCACTTATGGAGGTTTTACTTTAATGCTTTTAACATTGATGTGTTAATTTTAGTGGTGGGTAAATTAGTAGTTTAACCAAGTAGGTTTATGAATGTTTAGGATTTGAGTAATGATAAAGATTTATCAACGAGTGGATTCGAGATTTTGCAGTGAAGATTCGTGGCTTTGAATAGTGAATTTAATAATGGGTAAAGAATATACAAGATGTGACAATTATGATCACACTGACCAATCAGAAATTAGATTTTGCATACGCACATCATTTCTTTCTCATACTAAGCCATACACTTCGTGATTTCATCACTCTGTTTCTGGTACAGTTGCACGATTTGTTACATGCAAAATTTTTAATAAGGTCAAATAATCTATGCACCTAAATTTTATATGTAAAATTTAAGCAAATTTTGCATATTAATTTTATTTGACAAAAAAGAGTTGTTGGTTTAAATTTTGGATAGAAGTTAAAATTCTCTAGCATTTGAAGGTTCTTTGCACAAAATTTCAAGGCTCAAAATAAAATAAAAAATAATCTAGATCACAAAATTGGACAATTTTATGATTTTTATTATTTGTTTATAAGTGATGTAAAGTTATATACATACATTATTTTACCAAAATAAATAATTTTTTTTTGTTAAAAAAAATAAAAAGCAAGTTCTAGTCTTTATTTCTTTATTATTTATTATATATAATGTTGCATTAATAATTAGATATAATGTTTTATAAGAACTAAAGACTAAAGTTAATTTATTTAAAATTTAGACTTTATAAGAAGGTTCAGAGCGTTTTAATCTATATGAGTAATATTAATAATTAGTATATTATAATAGATGAAGTTTGAAAATTATTTTTTATATTTATATTTTGTAAGCTACATAGTCTCTTCTGTTTGTTTTTTAGTTTTTACTATATATGTAATTGTAACAGTTTAGTTTGTATTTTTAATTATATTAATATTGTAAATACTGCTAATTAATGAGACAATTATTCTGAATAAAATTATTTTTTAATATAAAATCATATCAAATTAAAGGTTTCTAAATTTATCTTTCATTTTTGGTTTTATATAATAGCATTGTGCAGCTATATTATAAAATATAATTCTAAACATTGAAAATGTATAATTATTATTTTATTTGTTATGTTAAATATATAATTATAATGCTAAATATAGTAAATATATAATTGGTTGTTATTGTATTTGTTAAATTAGTATAGCAATATATAATTGATTTTAATAAAAATATAATATTTTGTTATATAAATTCTTTATAAAAAGAGTTTTCTTTTGTTATAAAATTCAATTTATTTAATTTTGAAAACTAATTAGTTTTATTTTTTGTACAATATTAATATTTATCTTATATATATTTTTTACTAATAATGATAATCAAAATGTAAACATCAAATAATAAATAGAAGAAAACTATCATTAATTACAGGATACCAATTTACTAAAATCAAATTATCAAGACAGGCTTGTATATATAATAAACAAAAAACTTAAAGATAATTAAAAACAGACTAAAATATTTTATAATCTAAATATTAATATTCATTTAATAATTAATAATATTATCTTTAATCTTTCTTGATATTAAATTCAATTTGTCATTTAAAAATATTTTAATAATAATATTTATTCTTTGAAAAAAGAGTAAACGGATATTTTTTTCTGTTTTTTAGATTTTGTATTATTTAAAAAAAATATAACTCAATATCCTTTAAACTGTATTCTAGACAAATTTGTCTAGAAAATTAAATTGTATTTAGTATTTTTTAAATAAAATAATAATTTATTAATGATAT